TAAGAGATGTTAAAATTACTCCAACCTCGATAAATTTCATTGTGTACACAATATTAAAAACATTTTCGGAGAGTTTTGCCAAAGACTGCCGTTAAAAAATGGACTGTTTGCAGATTTGAACCCAAGCAGCATTTGGACGTCGGGACAACGTTGTGTCACGCGACCAAACGTCGGGGCGCAACGTCGGCACAACCTCGTGCCAACCCTAGTCTGCACTAGTTTGGAGAATAATTTTTGTGTCGAAACGACGTTGGATACCGACGTTGGCTAGAAGCCTAATTTAGTACAAACTGCAACGTTGTTTAAAATCCTAATTCACAGAAATACAAAACTAATATGGCGTCTAAGTCGCGTTTTATCCTAAATTGGGATAATTATAGTAAATCATAAAAATATTATTTTTATGATTTAGTTTGAGACATATGTCAGATGGCAGTGAAGGAAAACAAAACAAAGTATTTAAGTGTGGAGGATGTTTGAAGATCATAATTATTGAAACACTTTAACCGACTCTGTAACTCGTTACCCAAGGCAAAAAAGTTAAACGCAAAACAACTTTTTATTGATAAATGTATTGTTTCTACTTTGAAAAATACTAATGGGCCTTAAAATTAAAGATGTTTCTTAAAATTTTCTTGAATTTTTTTTAGTAAAATGAGAATAATTTATTCGCAGTCGAAAAATTGTTTCCGCGTGTTTTTAGGGTCAAATATTTTAAGTTAATGTATTCAAAAGCAGGAATTGCTATTTTAGGAACGAAACATTTTCTTATTTAACAACATGGCGGCTTTCACTTTGTTGTTTTGGGAGATTAAGATGGAGTAGTTCGAGTAGTCGCATACTGAACTACCAATAAAGTCGCAGTTCGGCCTTAACAGGTAGTATACTAGTCGCAAGATTGCCCAATTTAATCATCCTAGAGTAGCTTTCTGTGCCGCCCTCTATAATCTAAATAAACGAGGGAGTGGATAAACATCGGTAATATATGTCGATGTATATTTAAATTTAGTTTTATATGTACCTTTCTTATGTCCTATTTTAATTAAGTTTTTTTATAAAACAAAAACAGCACTGAACTGTCTGACTGAACAGAACAATGAAGTGAAAATTTAAGATTTAAGGTTATGGTTCAATACAGTTGCAAAAAGGTAGTGACTTCGATCGTCCCACCAACGTAAGAATAAGGAAATCTAAACAACGTTGGAATTAGTAAACAGACGACGTTTGCATAACGTTGAATAGGTCCTGAAATTGACGCCGGAAAACCTATATTGTCCAACGTTGTAACTATGTTGTCCGAATCACCTAAAGATCACTTTAAGCAAAAAGGTTACAAGACAACGTTTATTCGACGTCGCAGAAGCTTCACTTTGCTGTAGTAACTAGTCCAACGTCGGCACAACGTTATAAAAACGTTTAAATTTATTTTAATACCCAAGGTAGGGAGCTAACTATTTTTTGTAACTAATCCAACGTTGTGTTTAGTAAACATGTGGTCGCAAGTCGTGAAAATGCTACTTGGGAAGTTTTACTTCAAATATGCGCACATAGTGTACACACTGTTGTTTTTTTCCTTTATACTTTTCAAAAGTTACTTTATTTCATTCTTAAAATTACAAGAAACTTTCTTTTAGACAGTCGATCAAACTAATAAACATCCATTAAACAATTTCCATAAAGACACAATTATTACCGCAATATAAAATTAATAATACCACACAAACACAATGAAACGTTTATTTGCAAAACACCCAGACATAATGAATGTATTTGCGTTTAACTGTTAAGCTGTTTTTGTTGTGCAGAAAGTCGCTGTTCGAGGCAGACAGTATGGCTGCCAGCGGAACACACAAAACACTTGGAAATTGATGTATGTTTTATGTAATTTTCGTGCTTGTATATGAATAATCGATTATTAAAATGGACGAAAATAACTACCGTACGTACAGTACGACCATGTTTTCTATTTTTAAACGTTTCATTTAACAACTGTAATTAAAAATCTAGCCGAAACGTTTGATCTGAAATAAAGTGGATTGCCTATTACACGCGTCTGTGTTTTTACGAAAATATTAGTGTTATTAATTAGTGGGTAATAGTATAAAACACGTTACTTTTTTTAATCTACAGGGTTGTTCACCACATACGAGACGGAGTATTGTAGCTAAACGATTAGATTTTTACAAATTGTAAGTTTTGGGTTCGTTGAAGGACTATTAGAGCTACAATTTAAAAATATTTTTTCAAGATACAGGGTGTCCCAAATAAATAAAAAATATCAAAGTTGTATTTTTTTAAACGGAACACCCTGTATATTATTACATTTTTAGTTTCTACGATTAAAATAAAGGTAAATTTGATAAAGATTTATTACACTTAAACCTTACCGTTTTTGAAATATTTTCAATTTTGTGAAATTGCAATCAAAATTTTAAGGCTTCATTTCTCCAAGGGTATCAAAGTTTTTAATACTAAATATTTACTGAAGTTTATTTATTGATCAGTTATTGTGTTCCAATAATAAAAATTATACTTCCTTATACAGAGTGTCTAAAAATTTATTTTAAATAATTACTTGCTTTAAACGGCAATAACTTGTTTAATTTAAATAGAACACCCTGTATATTTTATGAGAATCAGATGCACAATTTAATTGTCTATCAAATTGTATTATACCATTTTGTGTTGGGTGTACCTATACAGGGTGAACAACCCTGTATAGGTATATAGTTTGAACATGAAACCTTTTTGAGGAAAATGCATCCTTCCTAAAAGATTTTGCTTGATCTAAAAAATGGTTAATTTCATTTATACTTTTTTCAATTTTCTAGCTTTTTAGGAAAAAAATATAGGGTTGTTCAACACATACGACACGGAGTATTGTAGCTAAACGATTAGATTTTTAGAGCTACAATTTAAAAATAAATTTACAAAATACAGAGTGTCCCAAATAAGTAAAAAATATTACAGTTGTATTTTTTTAAATGGAACACCCTGTATATTATTCTTCATTTTTAGATTCTACGATTGAAATAAAGGTAAATTTGATTAGGGTTTATCACACTTAAACCTTACCGTTTTTTTAAATATTTTCAATTTTGTGAAAATGCAGTAAAAAATTTAAGGCCTCATTTCTCCAAGGGCATCAAAGTTTTTAATAATAAATATTTACTGAAGATTATTTACTGATCAGATATTGTGTTGCAATAATAAAAATTATACTGCCTCATACAGAGTGTCCAAAAAATTATATAAAATAATTATTAGCTTTAAACGACAATAACTAGTTTAATTTAAATGGAACACCCTGTATATTTTACGTGATTCAGATGCACAATTCAATTGTCTATCAAATTGTATTACACGATTTTTTACCTATATTTTCAAGTTTTCGTAGAAAATGCATTTTCTTATAATTTCGACCTCATTTATCACTATAGGTTTTTTGAAAGCAATATATCATGTACAAAATGTACAGGTGGTAAAAATAATAATATTGCAAGCCCATTTGTTTACAAAAAGAAAACTATTTAAATCTGTGTAAAAGATCGAGTATAGCAATTAAATATACCACAATAATTTCCGCCCAAAAATTAGTTGATTACATACTGTTTTAATTAATAAATTATTCTAAATAAATGCGGATTTGACTCAGAAATCAGAATTGGGCGGTGTAATAATAAGTTATGAAAATGAACGTCTCTGTCATTATAAATAAGTATTCGTGAAAAGGTGATAATAGTTATCGGAAAATGTAATACTTTGATAACAGCAAAAAATATGACATTAATCAAAATTAATTATCAGCTATCAAAGAATGAAATTAAGATGATATTACCATAGACACGCCTTTTGATTTTTAGGACTTTCATTATGAAAAAATTCAATAATATTTTCATGTTTTTCAAATCCATTTCAAGTCGAGAACTACTCCAAGACGAGCCCACATTCTTCATAATTACACAATTAGACAGTTTTTTACAGACTATCGAGATGTTTTATGACAGATAGACAACAATTAACAGGTTGATGACATTGTTGTCGACTACCAGACGAGGTAGCCGACGAAATTTTTAGCGCATTAACCATTAAATATGATTTTTAGCACCTGTATGACACAATTTTATGGTCTATGAGACTGTGCGAATTTTATTTTCTCAGTGTTATTAGGCTCAGTTATAGATAAATCTAGGAATTTATCGAACGAATGCAAGAGTTGACGTAGTTGTTATAATAACAAAATTTGTAGTGTAATTATTCTTTTAACATTCATGAAGTTTTTTTTATTATTTTAATCAGACACACAATAATAATTGTTTAGGATATTTTCTTATACTATACTAGTGTGATACTAGCGTGTACCCGCGACTAGCGTTCGCGTCGAATTAATCATTTGCAATGGTGGTGATAAAGCAAAGCAAGAATTTCCATTAACATACAAACTGGATAACATTTTCTCTTTTTCGGAACACCCAAACAAACAAACAAACAAACAACGCTTTATTGTGCAAAAAGCCAAAACAGCTTCATCGACAAAGCACTCACAAACAACAAAATCACAAAAAAATACAAACAACAAATAATACAATTTAAAAAAAGTTAAGTCTTTAAAATTACAAAAAGAACCCCCTGTATGAAACAAAAGAACACCCTGTATGATTTTTAAAAAAATTTCAAAATATGTAAAAAACAAAATAAATTATGCGTGTCCAAGCGTTTTCCCGAAAGACTAACCGTTTTTTAAATAACAAATATTTTAATATTTGAGGGGCGTTTTTGTCCTCTTGGAATTTGAGATTCGAGAAACCCCTCCTTATCGAACCTCTACACCCCACAGTCAATCCGTTTGCCAAAAATCAGCTTTAAACGTCAAGCAGTTTAAGCATATTTTTTTCGGAAACTTCACCGTTTTTTAAATAATATATATTAGTATATATTAGTATAGATTTTAATTGTATTTTATTATATATTTATTTATAAGATTTATCTTTTTGTTTCAGACATTAGGATGAATTTTGGCTGGTTGATCACCCTCGCTGTTCTAGCGTTCATCGAAGCCAACAAAACCGCAGAAGAGGCCAATAAGACTAAAGAATCCGAACCAAAATCAAAACAGACACAAACGAACGAAACAGTACCACCGTTTCCCAAGGAATACATCCAAGCGGTTGAGAAGAATCTTCTGTCGTTGTTCGGGTTAAAAAATCGGCCCGGTAAAATAGACATGTCGAAAATTTTTGTACCCGACGAGTTGGTTAAGCTGTACGAGTTGCAGAGTGGTTTAAAGTTCGTTACGTCGGCCATACCAAAGCCTGGGGCATTTTTAACCACGGCTAATACAGTGAGGAGTTTTTTACATATAGGTAAGACTTTTTTATCATTTTTTTGTGTAAAGATTAAGAAAGATCTCTTTAAAAAAGTCCTGTGGGTATTTCGGCACTTACACTGTAAAAAAATCTAAAAAATAAAATACACACACCGGAAAAGTCTAGGGATATTACAATTTTATCCAGCCATCGTCAGTAATTTTATTATTTGCATTTCTGATATAATAAAATTAAAATAAACAAATAGTTTACAGAACGTATTGGAAATAAAAATGCGAAATTTACCGAATTTTTCAAATTTACCTTGATTTTTATTGAACTCAAAAAAATATACACGCATTTTTTTTATTCTAAACTGTGAATTAAAAAAAAGATAAAACCATTTTTACATAATAAAAGGTATGGCCTCCTCTACTGTTCATTACAGCCCTACATCGTCTCTCCATGCTCCTGATCAGGTTGTCGATCTCTTCTTGAGGTACAGCCGGCCACGCTGCATTCACGGCCCGAACCAGATCCCTACGAGTTTCACGAGGCATACCCATTCTCAAAATTCTTCTTTGGACCGCGTCCCATACGTGCTCGATGGGGTTGAGGCCAGGAGATTGTGCCGGCCAGGGTAAGATGTTTAATTGATGAGCATTGATAAACTCACTTACCACTCTGGCTGTATGAGGCCGTGCATTGTCATGCATGAGAATGAAGTTTCTCCCAAAATTATTGGCATATGGTAACACGACAGGCTCAAGAATTAAATCACGATATGTGATTCCTGTTAGAAACCTTTCAAGAAAAACGAGATCGGTTTTTCGGCCTAACTGGACTCCTCCCCAGACCATAACTGTTCGACCTTGATAAGGGTGCACGTCCTGCACATGATCCGACCAAATAAGATTTCCCGGTTCTCTCCATACCCTAAGCCTTCTCGAATCCGGATGAATTCCAAAGCGTGACTCATCCGTGAAGAGAACATTGGCCCATTGTTCATTCGACCACTGCACATGATCTTGAGCCCACAAATATCGTACCTCTCACTTTCCTCTCTCTGTCTGCTTCTTAAGTTGACCTCTCTTAATCCATTGCGAACAGTGTCAGGACTAACGGTTATATTATGTGTTTCCTGGAGAATTAAACTAACCTCTGGTGCTGTAAGAGTCGGTCGGCGTCGAGCATTTAATGGTAAAAAATGATCTTGCTGAGGGGTAGTAATGCGATGTCGCCCTGTGTGCCTTTCAGCAACATCACCACTTTCACGGTAGCGTGCACTTAATCGCGATATTACACTTTGCGTTGTATTTAATGCTCTAGCCACGTCGATTTGGCGCATTCCAGCTTCGAGCATACCCAGGGCCCTTAGCATTTCGTCTCTGTTAAGATGTTTACGCTCCATAATGTCGTTTAATACTAAACAGAGTTATTTGAATGAATTCTGGCCAGTTATCATAAAAACATAGCCAGTACAGGTTAAATTCGAACAATTATTGATGCTAGGTGCTTTTTATACATTTGACAAAAAATGCACAAACACTTCTGCAAATATCTCAAATTTAGAAATAACTAGTGTGACTACTTCGTTTCAATCGAAGTAGAAAGAATTGGCCTACAAATACGTGGTTGTTTATTCAAAACATTTATTTTTAACTTTAATAAAATGATATCCCTATTAGATTTTTCCGGTGTGTGTAGTTATATTTTGCAAATGCTTAACGCTTCGGGAAGTATATCTCTTCCCGTCGTTGGAAGGCAAAAAACACAAAGGACAGAGAAAAAACTATTTAAAATAGCTAAATACAACTATTCAAGAACACTCTAGTTTTTTTTTTCAACAGATACGTCTATAAACACCATTCACGTTCTGTTAAAATGACATTTTATCAAGATAATCTTCAAAATTAACAATTACTACCTGATAACAATTATTTAATGGGGCAAAACCAAAAAGCCTCAAGCTTTATGTTCAATAAAACCAAAGAAGCGATAGCCTTACATTACTAATCTCTACAGATGCCTGAGCAATATTTTTTTTATATTAAACTGTATTAAAAAAGCCTCTTCTATTTTTCGTTTAGAGACTATGACTTTTTTTCATAATAATTTTTGCGTTGTTCAAATCTACTCTGTACCCATGAAAGCTGACAAACCTTAGATTTGCGAAAATCACCCTTTCTTAAATGATCTTTATGTTCTTTAAATCGAACATTTAACGTTCACAATGTATTTTTTATATTACATTTATTGTTTGTTGTCCAGTGCTTATTGCTTTTTTTTGTCCTTTTGGCAAATTTGTTTCTGGCTGACAAGCAGTGTCCGTTTAGGTTTAACGCAGAAATGTTTACAAAAAATAACTATTTTATTTTGTAGATTGTCCTACAGCAAGTGGCGAAATACCCATAGGGTTTTTTTAAGAGATGAATCCGCCACAAACCTATAGACATTTTTTATTAAGCAAAAAAGAACGAGACGGTGTTGAAAATCTTTCCTACAAATACCTTGTGTAATATTTTATTTACAACTACACCATTACTCAAAAACTTAACCACTACCATTACCTCAACTTACTACAACGATTACTTAAATACTTGAGTAATAATATAAAATGAAAAGTGACACTCATCTAACCACGCTAATAATTTATGTACATCATTAACAGTTATTTTTTATACAAGACGATAAAATGGTATTTTATCGTCGACCGAAAAGATTAATGAATTAATTTCGGGAGGGGATAATGCAATTTTATCGCCGTGTATATAACAATAATTTTTTTCCGTAGCGAGTTACGTTTTAAAAATATTCAGAAATTATTATTTGAAGGAATTTATTACGAGTAGAAAAAATATTGTGCTGGGTTGGCGTTGGTTTCTATGTAATTTGACAAATAAATAAAGCTGTCTCTTTAGTTGTCAGTTTTGAGTCAATATTTTTTAATTCTCTTTCGTGTCGATTGCTGATTGAATTGGAGCCAGAAACGGCTCAAAACCAAATAAGTAAATTACCAACAGATATTCTACGAAAGCGTAGAGCTGCAATCGCAACACTGAAAAATAATTTTAGCAAAATTTACACTTTTTCTGTAAATTTACAGATTTCCTGTAAATTTACACTTTTTCTGTAAATTTAAAATTTACACTTTTTCTGTAAATTTGCACATTTTCTGTAAATTTACAGAGTTACTGTAAATTTACACTTTTTCTGTAAATTTACACTTTTTCTGTAAATTGCATGCGAAATTTACTACCCAGCAGGACGACGCGTTACTTCTCGGCATTGACCTGTTCGTTACTCGGTAGTTACAAGTAGTAGTGGGAACTATCGAATGAATACTATCAAAACATTCGATAGTTGCAATTCATTCGAATAATTCGATAGCTAGTAAGAAAACATTCGTCGAAAACTATTCGAATAAAAATTATCGAATAGATGCGTCATCTGCCTTGAAATATTGTATTCTAGTAATTCGGCAGCAAAACCATTCATTTATAAAATTCATTCATTTATCAAATTCATTTATTCGTCAGGATCGATTTTAATAAAATATAAACTGATTTTAGTTGTCGTCCGGCGACGTAGGTTTCTTTCCTAGAAACCCGACAGCGGTCGGTGGCAATGCTATGAAAAGAAGCCGGCATCTTTGATTTTTTGGGGAGTCAAATAAAGATAGGGACACATTATTTTTTTATTGAGTTATTGAGGTGCTAGTATTTACACAGAAAATATATTATGAAGGGCGCTGTTGCCATATATTTGTATTAGTTGGTATTAGCAAAGAATATTATTCTTTAGCATTAGTTAGTTACGGATAGTATGTCTATATGTTTTGCATTTTTTTATTAATATTCTGTTGTTACACTGCAATAATACTTTTTATTTTGGATGTAGGAATTTTTTTTTTAATTTTTAATGTTTTTAAGCAAAGACTGGTTTAATAAATAATAATAACAGTAATAATTTGTTATACCTATTAACAACAAAATTTACAATCATTTAATAATATAAACATTTGTTTTAAGTAGTAGCAAAATATAAACAACAAATAGAAGTCAGTATTTATATTAGATCCTATTTAAAATAATATAGTCTCTAAATGGCAACGTTGGTTTATTAAATAATAATAATTACAGAACTAATTTGTTATATTAACAACAAATTTTAAAAATCATGAAATATAAACATTTATTAATTTTCTAAGCATGCAGTGTAATTGGAAGGAAAATATAAATAAAAAATTAGAAATCAAAATTATTTATATTACTTTTTATTACTTTATATTATTATTTAAAAATAATATTTACTTTTTGCTGGCATTTACTTTAAAACATAAATGAAATATTTCTTCGCAAAAAACTACATGTAAGAGAATTAGCATAAACAAAATACAAACATTGTTAACTTTTTTTTAAATTGGCACGTAAAAACTTTTCAGTTTAATTTTCTCACCCCAAAATTTGAGTTCGACAACAATTTACTTAACCACATTACTTTAATGTGATTATTAAGTTCAACTAATTCATATTATTAAAACATCTAAAATACATAAATATGTATTTTAAAATTAATTGTAAGTTCATCTCATCTCTGTTAAAAATTGCTACTTCTCAAAATTTCCCTTTAAAAAAATGCAATCTAACCTAACCTTAATATACCATATAAAATTAAATAATTGAAAGATCGGGCTACGGAAAATCACACAAATTTTCGGAAAAATTTTGACCACTTCGCACACAATCGTCAATTTAAAAAAAAACGACTATTTTAGTATTTTAAATATTTTAATAAACGCAAAAATAGCATAGTATTTACTAGGCGAAGTTATAAAAATTTGGAAGAACTATTAATACGCACACAAAAATCAAACGAATACTAAATTTCATTTATCAAAAGCATTCGATAGTCGTGGCGCAACGATAACCATTTAGTCGTACGGCGAGGTTGTCACATATGCTTTAGTATACAAATGAATGAATGATTTTATTCGAATAAAACCATTCGATAGTTGAAATCATTCATTCAGTGACCATTCGATAGTCTAATTCATT